GAAAGGAAAGAAAGTAAAAAGGAAGGTGAATGGGAGGAAGAAAGGATAGGAAGGGAAAATTATAAAAAGCAATGAAAACAAAAGGGTAAAAGAATCCCATATGCAGCATCCAAAGTCTCAACTCAGTTAAGTCTTTGCTGAATCAAGAAGTGATCATTATTTTTAAGCAAAAACAACACTCCTCCTAGCTGAATCCAATCCAGTCAGCTGGGACTGCTATTTAATTCTACTAGGCAGAGGAGAACCGAGTCAGGATGACTATTCTATTCTCCTAGAAAAAGAGGGGGATATTTCTTTGCATGGTTTGGCAAACATGCTTGCTATAGAAATGCTAACTCTGGATGACTTGATGACTGGCCTAATTAACTATTTTTAATCCTCTGTAGAAGGAACTGATCATCTTTTCAGCCATAGTTGCTTCTCTCTGATACCAAGATTCTACTTTAGCTCTCCATTCTTTAATAAATTGGTTTGATGGTCACTGTGAAGCTCACAGGCATTAATCAGCTAACCTTTCCTAGCTTACTGATAACATCAAACCTGACTTAATGCATAGAGGAAAAAAGACAAAGGACCATTGGATGGGAAATAAGCAGTTTGGGAGCTATAAAGCTGACTGCATGGGCAATACACACACTTGTCAGTGTGGAAAGTTCTTAAGAGATGGCGACACAGCCCTGAGTCCTTATTTATCATTGCGTATGTCCAGTGCTTCCAAATATTAATATGGGAAGGTGACATGCAATCTGTAGTGTTTGCAAAAGAGAAGCAGAGAAATACTTCAAGGGTGGCAAAAAAAATGCTGAGGATGAACAAAATGCTCTTATCGAAATCCTTCTACTCCATCCCAATATTGGGGAGAAAATAGCTTTGAACTTCTCTGTAAGCCGAAGGTTCTCTGTCAGTGTAAAGGAAGCCACATATTCACATGAATCTTCCTTGTATTTCCAAGATAAAGATGAGCATAATTTGGAAGTACTCCCTGGGAAAACAGGTGGCTCCCTGCTCTTCTGTAATATAACATAGGTAAGAAGGAAACAAAAATAGATGAACAAGGTAAATGTGTTCAGGTACTTAGTCTATCTCCTCTAAAGAAATCCCAGTCGTATGGACAAGTCCAGTCACTATCCTACAGACTGCATGCATCCAACTCTAGAACTTTCCAGGTGTCTACAACTTCTGCTCTGACCCTTTTTTTTTATACGTAGAAGGGTAAAGGGTTGGGCATATCCAGGAGATCAGAATGGAAAGTTGGCAGAGACATCCTTCTACCCTAGTTATTAGTTCACACAAAGGGCAGTAAGGTAGGCCTAGCTCTGTCTCAGCAGGTGCAGCCTTGTTATCCTGTCTCAGGCTAACAGTTCTATGTTCGTTTATGTTCATTCTTAAGTTTGCTAATAGCTTTGATGTGGGATGGCACTCTTTCATCAGATGAGCACACCTCAGCTAATTCTCAGCCTGTTTCAAACTGCTACCTGATCTGGGTATAGGTTTACATGACTGTAATCACAGCACTCAGGAGGCTGAGATAGGAAAATGTCATGCTCTAATTTGGCCTGAGACTGTCTAACAACACCCAAACAAGCAAACAGATATTGAAAAATCTATTACTGTGTTTCAAATATTCCTTTTTTTGTTTTTTTACAATAAAGTACTAAGCGGTAAGAATTGGCTTACTCACTTCTAAAAGTTCTTTTATACCGTAGAATGTGTCTTAACTCTAGTCTGTAATGTCTCTTCAGTCATTTGTGTTGTTATTTTCCTAGTGTCATTATTTTAGCTCTATAAACATGTCTCACAATAAGGGATCAGAAACCTAAGTTGAGTCAAAAGTTGAATCTATAATGCACATCAGGGAAAGGGAAGGGGAACATTACGGAGTTGTGGGATCCAGGGGAGGGGAGAGAAAACATAAAAGCAAGCGGGGATACTGACCTTGCAACAAAGTTGAGCTTGTGGGCTCATTTAGTTCTAAATCAGGTGAGGGACATACAGGAGAGAAAAATGAGAACAAACACATATATTATATACAGTTGCTATATATTTGTCATATATAGTTTGTATACTGCCGTTTACAAGTATTTCTGGAGGCAGGGATAAAAAAAAGGAAGACATAAAAACCCAACATGGCAGGACAAAGTGAAGTGAGAGGAATAGGGAAATGACTTGTGTTACGCACTTAGACGAGATGGCTGGGAAGGGAGGGAGCAAACCAGTAATCTGTATGTTTTCCATTGTGGATGGATTCACTCTTAGTTGAACTTGTGCTGAACTGAGGCACTGTTGTGATATCAAAGGAACAAAGCCCCTTTCCAGGTGAGATTTAGCCCTCAACTCCTCATGTGCCTTGTTATACTTCAGGAGACTAAGTTTAGGAATGTCTGATTTCATGGCAATGGTGATCATTGATTGTGATTCACATGATTTCATGATCAGAGGAGCGAGATACACCTGGATCCACCATGTCTCAGGGCTATGACAGATGAAGTCTCAAGTTCATGGAAAACTCTGTGATCCCAGAATCCTATTGGTTTATGATTAGAAGGACCATCCTACGAAGCCACTGACCATGGGAACTTTCTACACTGAATTTTTCATTTTTCACTGCCTCATGGGAAGACAATGAAGTACATGTATAAGTAGTTGACAAAACAATAATGATTTAACTATCTTTCTGTAATGTTACCAGAGACTGAACTTCATCATGAATGTCTATTAATGTATATTCACATAAAGTTAATCCTGCCCAAGACTGTCTGATGACTTTTAGTGAAAAATGACATGAAATTTCCCAAGTAAATTTGGCAAAAGACCTCAAGGTGGATGGTGATATTCAATAATAAGCTTAGGAAGGACAATAATGTCTAGAACTAGACTTAGTTCTAGCTAAAGGGTTGGAAATGCTGGACTTAAAACATTAATAGGGTTCCAATAGTTCCATGGAGGGATCCAAGTGCACTTTTGTAATGGGCTTCTAACAACAGAGGCTACAAAATGGAACCGGTTTCCAGTTGACAACATTTGAAAATGTTGCAAGCGTGAATCTCCTTAGAGATGAACATGTTATAGCTCCGAGACTTCCAATACCAAAGGACATCCATGTTGTCATTAACCTGTTCCTGCTAATCTCCCCTGTAAAGGTACTAAACTTTACAATGCACTTTTTAGAGAGCCTTGGACTCCAGAAAGCACGCATGTCCCAAAGGATGCACAGGGTGAATGCTTTCTGACCAATAAAAGCGGGTGCACAGAGGGGGAATCAGTTGTAATTGCCACATATGGTTCTGCTGAAAAGAGCATATTATGACACATGCTTCACTGCTTTTTTTGTCATAAATGCCAGCTATTTCACTCTTAAAATGTCGGCTGCTTCTCCCTATTCTCATTTTGAGATGACTTAAGGAGAAGAGGCCAGGGAATTAGACCGTAGTGATAAACTTGATGGGAAAACCATTTCATGCATCCAACTCCAAGAAGAGAGATCAAAGCAGGAGGAAGAGTTTACAAAACTGGGGCCCCCACTGTAGCCATAGATTGGACATGGTTTGAGGCTGAAGGGAAAGTCTCGGAGCACCTCAGATTTGCAAGGTAAGGGAGGATGGGCCCATTCCTGTCTAAATCTGGCCTTCTGTGCTTGTAGACAGACACCTGCCAAAACCCAAAGTGGCCTGACAAATGAGAGGAGTACTTGTAACTATTCCTGTGTGGGAAATGCCAGAGAATCAATCACTCTAATCATAGCCCTGCTTGTTTTGCGCTGTGGACTCTAAGGTCAAGGGCAGCTTCTCCTTCCCAGCCCTTTCAGATAAAGCTGAGCTTTATCTCCTGCACTGAATTGTAGGCCAAGTGGATATGGTTTGGAAGGAGAGATGAAATGATGGAGTATAAACTGATACCTAAGGGTATTTGGCAGGGGAGGGGGAGAGAGAGCCCTTGAGGCTATAGGATTATCTGGGCATTCTCTTACAATCACAAGAATTTATGTTCATATCTGTTGTCTGCTAAATTCCTTTCTTTTCCTTCCCCATCACCTTTAAGAGCATTTCTTACCATTGGGTGAACTGATCTGAAAAATTCCAAACTCACTGAGTGTGGTGTGCTAAGCAGGGATTTGCTCAAAAGGCAACCAGAAATTGATCATGTGGCCTGTGGGGAGAATCTGTGTCCATTAAGGATTAAAGTCGCTGCCAGACTCAAGGAGTCTTGCCTGACTGAAGACAGAGAGGCTCACACACTGGGGTCTAGTTTGTTGCTTGCTTCTGGCCCCAGTGTATTTGCCATATATGAAAGAAAGGAAGACAATATTCCTTATGTATAACTAGTTCTTCAATAATTTTTTTTAAGAAAGCAATCCATGAATGACTATGTGGCATCTTTCAAGATGGTGGTGTGGATGGACAGATGTCTTAACTAGCCAGATAACATTCATTGACACAAATGGGAAACTGGGAAAATGCTTGTTTTCTAAACTATGTTTATTTTTCCCACTGAAATGAATATTTTGAAAGATTCCCCCACTTCTAAGATGCTACTTTTATGAATACAATTCTATTTCTCTTATATCCCAAAGGCTGGAAGAAGTTTCAGAAAAGGAACAAGCTACACAAAGCCAGAAAACAAAGTATTGAATAGTTGGTGCTGTTTGATATTTCATTCAATTATAATTACCAAATCAGTTTAGGAGACATCACCAATGAGGGGGAGGAAAGGTCAATTTTTATCATCCTAAAGTTGTCTTGTCTTGTGTCAGGATACTTTTTAAATTATAGAATGAAATGAATATTTACTTTTCTTTTTCCAGTCCTAATATCTGCTTTCACACCGTCATGAATTTTCTCTTTCTTTCTGTCTCCGTGTATATCTTTCTCTTTTTCTCTCTCCTTGACTACTTCACTCACTTATAATAACTCCTCCTTCCAGCCTCTCCTCTAGGCCCCTCCCTTTTGGCCACCCTTCTTTGTGACACAGTCTCTCAGAGCCGAGCTTACTCATATTCTCACCAAATAGCGTGATGCTGGCATTGGTGTGGCCCAACTTGTTGGAAGCCACACAAGTGTAGTTCCCGTAGTCATGTTCAGAGACATTGAAAAAGATGAGTTTTGAGAGGAAAGGTCTGTTTTCCACTTTGACGCCTTTCTTTCCTTCAATCAGTCTGAGACAAATAAGAAACAAAACAAAAAGAGAAAAAAGGAGATGGTCAATTTCCTTCATTGAAAAGACACAGAGAGTGGGACTAATTATCTTATTGCTAATCCGTCAGATCTCATCTGGTTCACTCAATGCTACCATATATTTGTACTGGATGACATGGCACTGCCTCCCTCCCTCTCTCTCTCCCTCTTTGTCTCCCTCCCTTCCTCCCTCTCTCTCTCCCTCTCTCTCTCCCTCACTCTCTCCCCCTCTGTCTCCCCCCCTCTCTGTCTCTCTCTCTCTCTGTATCTAGAGGCAGTCCTGTCAAAGATACCTTACCTTCCTAAACTGACATTTATATTCTCAGAAGGGAGGTGCATCATTTTATCCCTGCTTTGTAAAGCTGTCAGTCATATCACAACAAATATTACATTCCAGTTGTGTGACATTTCAAATAATACCATCCATGCAGTAGATGCTCAAAAGTGTTGATTTATGATGCTCCTGATAGTGATAATGAAGATGGTGATATGATGATGATAATGATGATCATGATGAAGATGATGATGATGAGAAGGATGACAATCATCACTGAGTGAAAAATTTTAATCTTCAAAGAGAGGGAGCTGATGTGTGTGTGTGTGTGTGTGTGTGTGTGTGTGTGTGTGTGTGTGTGTGTGTATGGCAGATCTGGAATTTGATTTTTTTTTGTGTGTGTGGGGGAACAGTAGAGTTTGCACTCAGGGCTGAGTGCTGTCACTTAGCTGTTTTACTCATGGCCAGTGCTCCACCATTTGAGCCAAACCTCCCACTTCTGTTCTTCTGGTGATTAATTGGAGCTAAGAAGCTGATGGACTTTTCTGCTCAGGCTGGCTCTGAACTTCAATCCTCAGATCTCAACCTCCTGACTTTCTAGGATTAGAGAGATGAGCCACCTGTGTCCTGTCATGGTTATATGTTAAAGACAATGAACATGATCTCTAAGTTTACGTACTCTAGTATGACATTGTATGGAAGTGTGATTTGTACATGTGTCTGGACAAGGGACAGGATGTCTGCAGTACTTGTAAAGCAGCAACCTCACTATTTGTCCTGGGTCATAGTATGCAGAGAGGGCAGATATTTCATCATTGTTGGGATGCCTATATTCAAGAGATTATAGAAATACATTATCCACTTTTCAAACTGAGAGTCACTCCTTGGATAGAAGAGAGAGGCAGGTTCTGATTTGAGTTTCCATCTAACATTTGTCTCCAAGGAAATCAGCAGACTTGATGTGTTTTTCATGATGCAGATTTTCTTCTCTCTAAAGCTCAGGGCAGTGAACTGGCATGTATCCACCATCATCATTGTAGTATTTCCATTGTGGAAGCCCCTTCAGTGGATCAGTGATTATTGATACTCTAGGGGATGCTGTACAGGGCAAGGTCACCATGTCAGCATCAAGAGGCCCCTGGGATCTAGTTATGGGATTCTATTTGATTTATCCTTTGGACAGTGTTCCTGGGGTGGGCAGGAAGCCTTCACATCAGAATGAAGCTGTGAATTAGATTTTTGAGAACTCTTACTTGAAGCAGGTTCGTGCCTGACAGCTCTGAAACATCTGTAGCTAAACATAGTGTAGGGTGACCAGCAGCACTTTGCAACACTTCACAGCTCCTGGGATGATGCATGGTCCCCTTCTCACACATTCACACATCCTCCATCCTGTATGGCCACCAAGCTTCACTTTCTTAATGAAGCTGTAGACTTTTCAGTGGCTACTGTCCCTGTTGGGTGGGTGTCCCTTACTCTACACAGAATTTCACTTCCTCTCTCCTTGACTGATAATGTATACAGAACAGACAGCAGAGTGGCACTAGTATAAAGTCAAATCTATCTATCTACCCTTTGAAGGGACCTCTTGACCCTACCACCAAGACTGTTCCTGGAATTCTGCTCATTTCAGTACAAGCAGGAGAGGTGTGAGAGCTGTCATTCCCAGGCAGGCACAGATGTGTTATATCCCCTGGGAACTATCTAGTAGAGCTTGGCAGGTAAACCCATGTGGTAGATATACAACTGGCTGTGACCAGGACCATAGAGGGGCAGAGATGTCCTTGTCAAGATGGGAGGAGAGAACATCCCATTCAATGGAGAGCAAAGGAATGGGACCAATATGAGTAGCCAATGGCAAGTGGAGTGATATCAATGGAAAGGGAGCCAGGCACCAGTGGCTCATGCTTGTAAGACTATCTACTCAGAAAACTGAGGTCTGAGGATTGAGGTTTGAAGCCAGCCTGAGCAGGAAAGCCCATGACACTTTCATCTAAAATTAATTACCTCCCCATACACACCATACATACAATGCCAGAAGTGGAGCTGGGGTTAAATTGTGGCACCAGCCTTGAATGAAAACACTAAGGGACATTGCCCAGGCCCTGAGTTCAAGCTCCCAGTGTTGGTGAGTACACATGAACATCAATGGAAAGGGAGAAGCAATCACAGAAAAATCAAAGAGGAGGAAATGAAGTGATTCAGGCTCAGACCCAATGCCAGGGTATCAACCCCTCTGCCCTCCTGGGGAAATGTGGGTAAATATTACAGCCCTTCCTAAGGCCATGGCTTCTGTGCCAAGAGGACATTTCTCCCTTTATTTCAAGAATGAGCATTTTTGGGGCTGGGAAGGTGGCTCAGTGGTAGAGCGCTTGCCTTGCATGCTTGAGGCCCAGGGTTCGATTCCTCAGCCCCACATAAGCAAAAAGAAAAAAGCCAGAAGTGGCGCTGTGGCTCAAGTGGTAGAGTGCTAGCCTTGAACTGAAGAGCTGAGGAACAGCGCCCAGGCCCAGAGTTCAGGCCCCAGGACCGGACCAAAAAAATAAAAAAAAGAAGGAGCATTTTTTCTCAACTTTCCTCCACATGTTTTTTTTTTGTTTACTGTTTCAGTTTTTTATTAAAAATTATTTTATTATAAAGATGCTGTACAGAGGGGTTGCAGTTACATGAATGAGTTAATGAGTATTTCTTGCTTTTGGCCTATGTTTGTTTCTATTCCCTACATCTGCCATAAAATATATCAGGATAATAGGAATGCAAATGGTTAATTTTCCTTTAGATCTAGATCCCTGCAGCTCCATAATTATTATTTTTCTGTTGCTGAAACTTTAAGTCTCTGTCCCTGTCTAGTATAAAAGAAAAGTGGTGGAAGATAATAAATAGAGAAATTTCTGTGTTGTTGAAAGGACAAAAGCCAGCTCTATTTCTCCTTTGCTTTTCTCCTTTGCTGCCTCTGCTCTTCCATCCATACAATGGGTAAGATGGATATACCACTCTTTGCTAGAGACTGAAGATGTGTCCTTAGAAATTAAAATTCTGCCGGGTGCCAGTGACTCATATCTATAAGCTTAGCCATTTGAGGATCATATTTCAAAGCCAGCCCAAGCAAGAATCAAGACTCTTACCTCCAATTAATCAGAAAAACTCAAGTAGTGTTGGTTAGTCAAGAGCAAAAGCAAATCTTAGTGAAAACTCAAGGCCCTACAGTGGAGCCCTTGTACTAGCACAATTCTTTTCACTGGAAAGGGTTATGAGAACACAGTAGATCTTAGGGCTAAGTGACTTAGTTCTAAACAAAATTTAACCATTGACTCCAAACCTGTAATTGCTTTTGATGTTTAAGTGACCAGTTAGCAGAAGAAAAGGAAAATGCACTGAAGCCAGTCCATGTAGAATGGGTAACAATTTGCTCATAACAGGCTGGAATTTCCTTAGTGGTCATGTCAGATTACTTTTTATGTCTTATTCTCTCCTCCGTTTCCCAGTCTCAAACTCTCCTTCCTTCTCCACTTTGTATCTCCAGCAACACCACTGCCATTTTTATGAAAATATTCTGAACACAGACAGCGCTTGCACATTTATTTGTTGTTCATCCACCTTAAAATAGCTCTTTGATAACAGTAATTGCCTTGTTGCCTGGCTGTACAGAGCCACTGACCCTTATGCTGACATGCCACTTGATAACTCCTTCAAATGATCATCTTCAGTGACTCACAACAAATGTCCCCATGATGGCTGCAACAATGAAAAGGAAAGGGACAGTCCTGACTTTTTTTTTTCCTACAGAGAAAGAACAACCTGGGCACAAAGAGAGGGCTCAGCGGGGTCACAGAGACTCATACAAAGCTACTGATAGTGTTTGGAATAGAGTGGGAGAACCTGCTAGGAGCAGCTAACATAGGAGCTACTCCTTACACTTAGGAATGTGTTAAAAAAAAAAAAAAACTACAGCCAGAACACATTTTTATTGTGGGCTGAGAACAACAACAACAACCCCAACAAAAAACGAACTTCACAGATCTTACAATGCTGCTTTTGGCCTTGATTTTGAGTTTAGACTTCCTGGAAAATGTGTTCCTGATCAAGCTTGTATGTTGATGAATGATGATTCTGCATAGCAACATTAAAAATCGAGCTGAGCTTTGACACAATGGAGACACTTGGACACCCATGTTCATTGATGCACTATTCACTATAGCCAAGTGATACAAATAGCCCAGATGCCCTATAATGGATAGGTGTGAGTGATACACACACACACACACACACACACACACACACACACACACACATATATCCGGGGAAGAGAATACAGTCACAATATTCAATGAACATATGTGAAGATGGAATCAGGCAACTTAAGAGGATGGGTAAAGATAGTAGATATGGGAGAGAACAATACTAGTTGTGACATTGATCAAGTGCATTGTACTCATAAACTAACATGTTGAATTTAAACCCCTAATATAATTAATGAGAGTATAAAAATTATCTATGTATCTATCTATGTATCTATGTATCTATCTAATAGATATACTGAGAATAGAAATCTAGATGGAAGTTTATTGTTAAAGGATATGTTTACATATAATTTTCTCCTACAGTCTGAACTTCAGAAGAGGACTTGACAGGAGTCCATTTTCAATACTGTGGTCTGCAACCAGGACCCTGGAAAACATTTCTGCTTTTGGAGTAGAGTATAGAGAGCAATGGAGAAGAAAGGACTTTACCTTTTGTCATCCTTGAACCACTGAAATTCTGCTGAGGGAACAGCCGAGGCCTCACACTGCAGTGTCCCCTTCTGTCCCACAGGGACACCCGTGCCCTTAGCTTCTGAAATGTAGGGTGGATCTGCAGAGAGAAGATGGTCTGAGGCTGATACATATGGGTCTTAAAATAAAAGTCTTCTTGTTCATGGATTCTGTTTCTTTCTCTCTGCTTCTGTTTACTTGCACTGTCAAATGGCTATACTAATTGTGCTAGAGAGTAAAAACATTTTCAGTGTTACTCTAAAGAAAAGCTTCTACTTTCTATACTGAGGTGTAATGACCAATGATTCAGGTTTATTTTCTATGTCAGGTTTTTTGTTTCTCTCTCTCTCTTCTCTCTCTGGGTATGGGTGTGCCAATACTAGGGCTTGAACTCAGGACTTTACACACTTGCTATTTCTGCTCCAGGTGTCATGGTACTCTAATACTTTAGCCACACTTTCACTTCTGGATTTTTGCTGGTAAATTGGTAACAGTCTCACAGACTTTTCTGCCTGGGTTGACATCAAACCAGGATCCTCAGATCTCAAAGTCCTGACTATCTAGGATGACATGGTCCATTAGTCCCTGGCTCTGTTTATTTTTTTTTTAACTTGCATAAGTGGATGCCATTCTATCTAGCCTACATCCCATGGCCTAACAGTCAGAATCTTTTAATCAGCCTTGTGGAGTTTTTGCACATGAGGTTTATGCCAACATATGACCAAAATCTCAGTTATAGAAATTTTATTCATTGGAAATGCCTAAAGAATATACAGACCAATCATTCTTTTAAGTATTCTAAATATACCCTTCCATCAAGCAAAACCAAAATTGGCCTATGTAAGGTCTGCACAGGGACACTCTTGGCTAAGTTTTTGCTCAGGATCTGTTACCAAGGTAACTGGCAGACCTGGAAGCAGTCACCTTCCCCTCCTGCTAGGTCACATCCTGGGCCACCTCTGGTCACATGCCTCCCATCTGACCTTAGAAGGGTCCCAGACACTGAGGTCCTGTATGGATCTAGTGTGGCCACACCTTTCCCCCACAGGCCACACCTCTTCCTGTCTCTGGCCTAGATAAGTCCTGGCCCAGGGGTGGGTCGCCTCCTTCCTTTTCAGCCATGCTTCTTTACCATGTATGGTGGGGGCAGCAGTTTGATAAATAAACTTCTTTTCCTGCTTGAAGGGCATGGTGTGCTCTTCATTGGCTACCTAATAAAACCTATCTATTTAATATACCTCACAGCCTACATGGTGTGGTTTCTTGTAAGGTCTTCACCAAAGCACTGTTGGCATTCCAACAGTGTGAATTGGGAGGTATGTAAAAATAGCCACAATAGGCTCACTTTTGTAACCCTAGCTACTCAGTAGGCTAAGACCTGAGGATTGAGGTTCAGAGCCAGCTTGGAAAAGAAAGTCTGTGAAACTCATCTCCAATTAACTACCAGAAAACCAGAAGTAGAGCTGTGGCTTAAAGTGGTAGAGTGTTAGACCCTGAGTTCAAGCCCCATGATAAAAAAAAAAAAAAAAAAACCACAATAACCTTACTGTTTGGCTGATTTCAGGGATTCCTACCACAATGTCTTAACTGTGTATCTCAAAAAGCTCCATTTGTGGAGACCCCAAAGATAATTTTCTATTTCAGCACCAGGAGCAGCAATATTTCTTAAAAATTAAATTTGGTTTTATTTTATGGACAACATAAATCTCAAAACAAATGATATTTACTCTCTTTGCTTCAGCAGTCAAGGCCAAATTCTGGATGTGACCTCAACATCCTGGTGGTATATATTTCATGAGCTGATTTTCCTGAGCTCTTGCTCTCTTTCTTTAGTATAATTTTCTTTTTCTTTCTTTCTTTTTTTTTGGGGGGGTCCAGTCGTGGGACCTGAACTCTGGACCTGGGCTCTGTCTCTCAGCTCTTCAGCTCAAGGCTAGCGCTCTACCACTTGAGCCACAGCACCACTTCCAGCTTTTTTTCTTTTTGCTTATGGGGTATGTGGTGCTGAGGAATGGAACCCAGGACCTCAGGCATGCAAGGCAAGCACTCTACCACTGAGCCAACTTCCCAGCCCCTTTAGTATGATTTTCTTTGCTTCCTTTTTCTCTATATTATTATTAAATTTTATTTTTTTCATATGGTTGCATAAGGAGGTTACAATTTTAACATGCCCACTTATGTGTACAATACATTTTAATCAAAGTCACTCCTTTCATTATATATATATATATATATATATATATATATATATATATATATTGGTCAGTCGTGGGGCTTGAACTCTGGGCTAGGCACTGTCCTCAGCTCTTCTGTGAAAGCTAGCACTCTACCACTTCAGCTGCTGCATCACTTCTGGTTTTCTGAGTGGTTTATTGGAGATAAGAATCTCACGGACTTACCTACCCTGGGCTGGCTTTGAACCTCGATCCTCAAATCTCAGCCTCCTGAGTAGCTAGGATGACAGGTGTGATCCACCGGCCCTGGCTCCATTTAAAGTTTATTTGTTGAGGGCGGGGGCAGTTACAGCGTTTGAAGTTAGGATGTCATGCTTGCTAGGCAGGTACTCTACCACTTGATCCATACCTCCAGCCCTTTAGGCAAATCATTTTATATTCCTTTACCAATTGTGATAGGCGTACACATTTTAGTAGATTAAAAATATGGTAGCATTGTCATACCTATTTCCTTGCTTCTTAACGTGCTTCATATTACCTAGGTTCAAATTGGAATAGAAACCAATATAACGAATCAATGAGTTTCTAGCTATATAAAATACATTGCCAGCTCCTATTTTGCCCACATTGTGAAGAAGATAAGCTTCTGGTTGCTGGCCTAACACTGAGGTCCTGTTCTATCCTAAGACTTCCTGAAAAGTGAACAGCAGAAGAACCCTTCAGAATGTGCTTGGGGGGACTCAGTCAACGTGAGAGACAGATGGGAAATTTGAGTAGGATCAGTATTAGAGTTTGCATGGTTAGGAAAAGAAAATGAGGAACCATGGCTGAGGCTACCAAACATTTGGGCTTCTATATCTCTTAGTAAAACTGAAAATTTGAGGTAATCCAGCAGTACCAGTAAGTTACCTATCTGTATGTATGTAAAAATTACCTATATACACAATGTGTATCAAAAACCTGCAATTTCAAAAGGATGAGATGCGATGAACATATCACATATAAACATTCCAGTCCTTCCTTCATACACTCTAGCACATGGTTTTGTCCCACTATAGAGATATGTGGTCTGGAATTATAAGTCTCTCAATTCATCGTATGAGTAAATTATGGAAAAACTTTGGATTTGATGATGTATTTACATAAGTGATATATTGAAGACCATTTATTGATATCCCACCCTTTGATTATATTAATTAAATTTTTGGTATTGCACTAGTTACATCTGGTATTAAATTGTGCTCAACTACTTGTTTATTCGTTTGTTTGGTTGAGGCTAGCATATTGTTACATAATCCAAGCTGACCATGAACTTGGATTCCTTCTGCCTCATCCTTCCAAGTGTTGGCATGCACCAACATACACAGCTTTCAAATACTTTAAAAATATGTGATGCTGCAACACCTTAAAGTATCAAAAACTTGACTTTAGACTTGCTGCTCCTAGATTAGAAGAGTACAGGCTAAACACCTGTGATTCACGTGTGTAATCTTAGCTACTCAGGAGGCTGAGATCAGAGGCTCACAGTTCAAAACCAGCCCAGACAGGAAAATCTGTGAGAGTCTTATCTCCAAGTAACACCAGAAAATTAGAAGTGGAGTTGTAGTTCAAAGTTGTAGAGTCATCACCTTGGGCAGAAAAAGCTCAGGGACAGCACCCAGGCCCTAAATTCAAGTCCCAAGACTGACAGGGAACAAAAAAATAACAACAACAACAAAAGAAAAGCAGAGTACAAAATAATGATGTTACATTATGTTACATTATGTTTTGTCAGCACTTCCTCGGCTGACCAGCTTGCTCCTCAGGAGCATGCAGGGTGGGGGCTGGAGAGACCACTTACAGTTCACGGTGACCTTTACTCTCCGAACCACTGGGGCAGCCACATCATTGGAGGCACTGCACTCATAGTCCCCTGACTGCTCCCGGGTGATGCCCTGAATTTCCAAGTATTCATCTTCACTCACAAAGCCAACAGCTGTAAGAGAATATCAAAGGCATAAATTCAGAAAGCAAAGTATACAATGTGTATCTCTGCAGAGAACTGTGCCCCTTGTAAATTCATTCTCAGGAACTTTACGGATTCTCCATCCCTATTTCTCTTGCCCATCCCCCCTTCTCCTTGGGGTCACAATGGACCTGCTGTACTGTTTGTGCTCCTAACTGAACTAAGAAAAATGCTCAGAAGACTAACTGGTTTTCTATAAGTGGTTAACAATTTTTGCATTTGCATTTGATCTTACCAAAGCAGTACAGGTCTGGGATCTGAGGTAAGTCCCTTAAATCTGGTTTCAAAGATCTATTTACACTGGCTTGTAAATATATATATATATATATATATATATATACACACATACTGGCTGCATTCCTGAGCAGGAATCAGTTGGAAATGCCACACCAGAAGTGACCTACACACACACACACACACCTCAATATCATTAGAAACACTAAACAAATGCAGCTTTGCTTTAAGATTAGACAGAAAATTGGATAGGCAGAAACCAATTTTCTAAACTGTGATCTGCTAATGCTCTTGGCTGCAAGATCCTAAAGACAAACCAACAGTGGAATAACACAGCTGAAGCGTCATCATCTGCATCAGAAGTCAGAGATGGGCTACAAATCTTTACCATTATTTAATAATCACAAGACTCAATTTATTGGAAATGGATAATCAATCATAAGATCCTTCTACAGACTGAATTCTGTGCCTGAGGTATAGCCATGGGATACAAGTCATGGAAAAATTGAGATATTTAAGCCTGGAAGGCAGGTTTCAAATTTCTCTCCCATAGCTACTGGATCCTAACTTCCTTGCAAACATAATATAACAAAGCAGTATAATATAACATGAGGATGAAAATAATGGCTTACACTGTGGGATTATCCTCTCTTACTTGCTAAATAAGGACAATTAGGATAAGATCTTAACCTTGGATGCAGTTAAGGAAAAAATGGTACCATTAATTGTTCTGGGGTAACAAGTTTAATCTGAGACTGTCTCTAGAAACTGAGACTATTTCCCAGGCATAATGTAATTAATAGTCCCAATGCCTCACATGACTATTGAGAGTGGTAAACAAAAATACTTACAATACATCACACCTATTGCAACCTGTTCATGTAGTTCTTCATCCTATAATTTTCCTGGAAGGTGGAGGTCAGGGTGAACTGAAACTACATTCACATGGACACTCCCAGACAGAGAATCAAAGGCTAATTCCATTCAAGTCACCAAACACCACCAAAATGCCATGTTCCTTCTGACCAAAAGTATGAAAATGATGAATATAAGAAACTAATATAACAGAAAGAATGAAATATGTGCTATATAAGTGATTGTGTATCAGTTCCATGACCTTGTTAATATCACTTTTGTAAAATAATATAGTAATAGCAATAGCAAGAATAACAATAATAAAACCCTATTTTATAGAGAATGGTCACTACCTGTCACTCTGTTACTACATTTTTTCTGTATAATTCTTTTTTTTTTATTATGAGAATACCGTACAGAGGAATTACAATTACATGGGCAAGATAATGAGTACATTTCTTATAAAGCATTGTTGCCTCCATTACTACCTTTTTATGGTAGGTATTATCCAGCAATAAGCCAACCAGAGCATTTCTTCACTATCTCTACAACATATAGAACCTATATCATATAAGTGTAGAAAATCTCTTTCCTCTATTGACCCCAGAGAATTAGAAAAACAGTTATCTATTACAACGAGCAAGTAAGAGATTAAATGCACAAGGAGAAGGTATACTCTAATAAGTAGAAAACAGAACCAAAGTATCTATAATTTGGGGAAGAGCATCAACAGGAACCCACAAGATATACAGCTACAACTTGTAAAAAATTTCTATCTCAGTAGACTTCATTAATATGGTTTCCTATGCACTACCTGAGCAAAGTATCAGTTTAGGTTGAAGAAAGGGTAGAAGAAGTTGGCAGAGGTTTACATGAGAATTTGTGATTCCTTTTACATTGCTGTTGTTTATTTGCTACAAATCCAAACCTACATTTGTCAGATCTTGCCACGCTAGAATGGTATAATTACTGTGCAAAGAATCTCAGAGACCAGTGTCACACTTAATATTCCCATTAATTTTAAATGGTAGTCCTTGGTACATATGTGAGGCAATTGGTGTCATATTTTAATTAGGCTTGCCCTACACCATCTGAAATTAATAATAGCTTGAATTACTAGTGTAATTTATAAATTAACAGTGCTGCAGCATTAGGAAATAAATTAGTTCTGGACAGCTGTTTCTGGATGGAGCTTCAGTGTCATAGCTGTGATTGGTAAGACCTTAGGACTCCATAGACTGTGTGGTACATCACCAAAGTAGTGAAACTAAAAGACATGGGGTTCTATTGGCCTGTTGTTCTTCTCCAATAGAAGTCCATGCATTTTGTCATTCTATCTCCCAAGGATGCACTTCTGTGACCACACAGAAAATTTTGGAGAACCATCAGTGATGCGCTTGCTCTGGAGACATTCAAAAGGAGGCACAACTTGTGAGCTATAGTCACAGGTTAAAATTCAATCACATATCAGTGAGAGTCATACACCAAATGAAGGACTCACCTAAGTTTCTTTCAGGGACACCAGTGTATGAACGTGCATGGAATTTTTATCTAATTCTTGCAAAGAGATCATCAAGGAAGGATGTGCAATGACTTAAGAGTTGGGGGAGGCATATGGCTCCATGTTGAACCAGATTTTTTACTACAACAAGAAGATGATTTACACTTGTCATCCTTCTACCATATACCCTACTACCATACACCGTAGAGCAAATACATAATTAGAAATAAACAACAATGGCTTCATGGCTCATCCCATTCTGGTTAAATCAGTTATTGAACTGGAAGAGTAATAGGTATAAATTAAAGTGCTTTGTGATTTTTAGATGTAAATGTTACTTTTGCCTATCTCTTGGCACACCACTTTCTTCTACTAAAAGCATGAATAAAGCAGCGATAAATATAATCAGCCTACAAATTATAATCAGTATACACACAGAAAGGTAAACTTTGAACCTCCAGAAATAACTTCCTCTCAGTACCACCTAAAACAAACATGTTTGCAAACATCATTAAACATTCATTTGAAATCTGAAGGACCTTTGTGTGTATGCGTGGCGAACACTGGTACTAAGGCTTGAACTCAGGTCCTGGACACCATCCCTCAGCTTCTTCACTCAAGGCTGGCTCTGTAAAACTTGAGCCACAGCTCCATTTCTGGCTTTTTGGTGATTACCTGGGGATAAGAGTCACAGACTTTCCTTCTCTGGTTGGCTTTGGCAATCTACAGATCTCAGTCTCCTTAATTGCAAGAAATATAGGCATGAGTCACCAGGGCCCAGCTTAAAAAAATGATGTTTTAGAGTTAACAAGAACAGGTTTCATTTCACAGTATTTGTGCTCTTGCTATGAACCGATCGACAGTTTATCATCAGTATGAAGAATTTACAAAGAATATTGGAAAGGGAAAAACAGCTGAACTGATTATACTTTTGAAATTGCTCCAGGATTCTTATTAAGAGACACCAGTGGAGAAGAGGTAAACCACTTGATAAAACCCAATGAAAAGAAACTCTTCACAGTCAATGGCTTCTCATTTATAAGTCCACTTTTTTCTTCTTAAAAGGAAACACATACTTGGGTGAAAATGACACTCATCTTCCTAAAATATCACCTTCACTTTCTTCATGTCACACCTCTTCAGACACCACAAGCAGCTCTTCTTCTTCTTCTTTTTTTTTTCAATAATGGCAAGCACAGACTCCATTCCCTTATCATCAAAGGCTCCCCAAGCTTCACCCCAAGTTCATTAGCATTCGTGCTGTGAAGAAGGCATCAGATCACTACAGTAAAGAGTCAAAGTTGGAGACCGGACAAGCTTGTTTCATGAATGTTGAGTTATCCTACCTCCTCACACCATGCATTCCTTTACCTGTAGAACTCAGAGTAATATTATGAGGTTGTGGTTGTGTTGTCACTGACAAGAGATGGACAGTGATAGGCAGGTGGTAGGTTTTCTGTAGAGGTTAATCAATGCAAGCATGGTGATGGTAGCCATAGATATGCTGACGTCGCTCTTAATCAAGCTTTGCTGTTTTCAAATTTTTCATCATGATGATTCCGATTCCAAGTGACGTTCTTCTTAACCAAGTAATTAGCAACTATTTTTTCTATTTTTGAGGGGGGGGTGATTACTGGGGCTTGAACTTGGGGCCTTGCGTGCTGTCCCTAAAGTTCTTTGCTCAAGGAAGCTTCTCTTCCACTTGAGCCACAGTTCTATTTCTAGCTTTTTGGTGGTTAATGGGAGATAAGAGTCTGATGGACTTTCTTGCCTGAGCTGGCTTTGAACCTTGGTTCTCTGATCTGACTCCAGAGTATCTGAGATTACAAGAATCAGAGACACCTGTCTACATATTATCTTTAAAATCACAAAAGTACTAAACTGAAGAGCATAATTATTAAGAAACAATTAGGGTTCTAATACTGAGTTCATAGTATGTAAACATACTGCAGTATTGCTTGCTTAAGGTCTTGATTACTGGAGGAATGACACAAATGTGTCATCTACTCAGAATCTCTAGTGATAAGGAATTTTTCTAATCTTACCAGGAAATTATCATGTGTAGTCAAGTTTAGGGTCTAGTGATTTAGCTCACTATCTTATGTTACATGTTGGAAATAAAGTTTAGAAGAGTCAGACCACAATCAAGGTCTCTTAAAAGACTGATTCCACATAGGTTAAATGCACTTTTGCAAAGTGAAGTACTCTGTGTTGCTCACTGTTTCTCATATAGCTCCATTTTTTTTTTGTCAGTCACGGGGCTTGAACTCTGGGCCTGAACGCTGTCCCTCAGCTCTTCAGCTCAAGGCTAGCACTCTACCACTTGAGCCACTGTGCCACTTCCAGTTTTCTGAGTGGTTTATTGGAGATTAGAGTCTCA